TATGTATGAGAGAGTTTTATGTAAAGGTTAAATGCACATCAAGAAAATATTCCAACCAAGTGCTGCCCAAGTCCAACATTAACCCATATGTCCAACACCAGTCCACAAAGTCCTCCTCCCTCTCACAAAACAGAGGCAATGATGCCAACTGCAGGAGGAAAGCCCAGTCAGTGAATGTGTAAGCATCTCAGCGCTGGCAGGGGTCTCCACACGGCTGCTCCAGCACCCAGGGCTGCATTGGGGTAGGTCCATGTGGCTTCTCCTTGGGGATGTCTTGCAGGAAGTCAGTCTTGCAAGCTGAAGCAGGGAACTGCTAAAGCAGCTGCACCCTGTTGTGACCACCACAAAGCAAGAGACCATAGAAGTAGAAAGGCGAGGCTCACTGGGCCATTTATCCCTCCACCCTTCAATTAACCCCACATGTGTTTATTGGCCAGGTTGGCACAATAAACTAACTAAATCACAAGCCGAGCAGGGTGTCCTCAGGGCCAGCCAGGGGACACAGACTCAGGGTGGGGACCATGGGCCCCCTGCCTGGCCTGTGAGAGTGTGGGCAATGTGGCATTTGGAGTGAGACCAAGGTGTGTATCAAAACCACGCTCCCTCTGCGCCCCACCCCCAGACCTTTGCACACTGCCTCCCTCCATTGGCAGAAAGCTATGGTGGCCAAGGCTCGGTGTTGATGGCAGCCTGCTGCACCAGTGCCTTTCCTCCGGCAGGAGCCGGGCTCTGCTGCCACCTGCCGTCCCTGCCTGGTGCGTGCACCTCACAAACCGCAAGCGGGGCCCAGTCCCCAATAAAAGACTCTGGAGACATATTCAACCCCGCTGCCTCCCCCTCCCTCGCCCCTTGCCCAGGGCAGACCCCCAAGAGGTCACAAGCATCATTATGAGGGATGCTGGGAGGGAGGGCCGCCACATTTCTGTGGGGTGATCTCTTGGCAGCAGCGCCCTTAGGGGGTACAGGGACAAGGCCCCACCAGGTGACACCATCCGAAGAGAGGGGTGGCATGGAAATGACTGTGTACACAACGTGCATGCTGCTTTTTATCAAAGCAGCCACCTCGTTCCTGAAAAGCCCGGCGGCCCTTGCCCAAGCCCAGCGGGTGCCAGGGGCCTGTTCGCACCCAGCTGCGCCATCCTGGCTTCTGGGTGGCTGTCTGTCTGTCTGTCTGTGCTCCCTGCAGTCCCACGTACTGTCACCCTCCCTTAGCAATCAGGTTTTGCTGCGGTCCTCCCGCCGGGTGCCTGTGGGGTGTCAGGAGGCGGTCTTGACTCCGCGGCCCTGGGTTTGGGGGTTTCCTGGCTTTGCATCATCCCGGCTGCACAAGGAGGAAACAGAAGGAGGCCAGCGGTGGGGCAAGTGGCCACCCGACGATTGCAGCGCAGGAAATTCCTCAGGCCGTCCCTCCCCAGCCTGGGACACCACCTGCTCAGACCTGTCCATGAGGGACTTCCGGAGGGGGACTGCGGGGAGACATCTCAGGGGACCCCAGGGGGAGGTGGATGAGAGGTTAAGAGGCCATGGGGAGGTGGACGGGCAGGGGACTGGTTTCTACTCATGCTCTGAGGGACGTGCCTGTCATTGTGGGGCTGCCCGGCCTCCCTTGTCCCTCTGGGTTTTGCCCAGCGGACGAGCTGCCAGACTATGCCCGGGGGTGGGGGGTGGGATGGTGGCAGAGGGCTGACATAGGGAGGTGGACAGGGGTTGGGAGAGGCCATAGGGAGGTGGGTGTAGAGGTGGGCAGGGCCAGGGGAGCCCATCTTCACCCTGGAGTCCCCCTGGCAGGCTGTCCTCTCACAGTTAACCATCCTGCGAAGGCACCCAGAGGGTGAGGGGGAGCCACCGAGCCAGTGGAGGGCTCTGGAAGGGGCCCTGTCTGCGGCCAGCTGGGCGGCCAGGGCTGACCCCAGCCTGAGGGAGAACCAGGAGCCCATGCTGTCCTGGACCCCCAGGTTCTCCTTCCAGACCGGCCCAAACCGGCCTCCCGGACTCAGCCTGTTGCCCAGGACAGAGCAGACTGCCCCACAGTGTGTTCTTCTCCTGCGGAGCGACTGGTGGGTCCCAACTGCCCCCCTTTCAGTTCACAGCCAGGTGCTTCACCGCCGCACCGCCACGCTGCCTCCTCCTGGACCCCAGCGTGTGCCCGTGGTCAGGTGGGTTTTTCTCACGTCTCCAGTTCCCAGGAGCAAGTCCAAGTGGCTAACGCAGAGCAGTCAGTCTGGTCATCCCATTGCAACAAGAGCCAACAGATCCGTCTCGGAGCACTGCAGGCAGCACGTCCCTTCCAGACATCATCCCACGTACTCTGGACATGCGGTCAGGAGAGGCCTGTCCCTGGAGAAGGACACCGTGTTTGTGGAGGGGCGGTGAGCCAGAGAGGTGCTTGAAGAGATGGGTGGATTGATACCGTGACTGAAACCCCAGGCTGGACCAGAGCCGGGATTGTGATGACGGCGCGGGACAGGGACGGATGTGGGACGGATGTGGGACGGGCGGGGACAGGGACAGGGACGGGGACAAGGACAGGGACAGGGACGGGCGGGGACAGGGACAGGGATTGGGGGATGAGCTGGCAGAGTGAGTTCTGCTGCACACTGGCTGTTGTGAGTCAGCACCGACCCAGTGGCGCCTAACAGGAATGATGGTAGATCTGATCCTGGTGTACTGACTAAATTCTCACCCTACCCCCCATATGGGAGACCCAGCCTTGGTCCCTGGCCAGTGAGCCTCAAACACAGCCCCCCAGCCTCCCCAGCCCCCCAGCACCATCACCTACCCCTGCTCCTAGGGGTAGGCCTCGTGTCGCTGTAATGCTGGGCAGCTTCTACTGAGCCGCCAGCCTGAGAGAGAGTAGGCAGAAAGGCCCGGTGATCTGCAAATCTGCATGGAGCCATCGGGATGACGGGGTCAGGTGGCCCTCTGGCCACCACGGGGCCGTGCAGAACTGGGCAGTGCTGTGTGTGGGATGACCGTGAGCCAGAGTCCAGTCCCTCAGCAGCAAGCCAGGACAGAGCAGCTCCTGGGGGTTCAGAAGCTGCCCTTGGGGTGCTGTGTCCACCCCCACCGAAGGACACACAGACTTGGCCATCCACGTAGCCATCACGGAGAAGCCATGTGGAGTCCTGGGTCAGGCCCCCTCGTGTGGGTGGGTGGTCAGTCCCATGTGGACACTGAGGGGCGTCCTGGACACTTCGATGACTAGCACACCCTTTGCTCAGAGCAAGACCAGAGGCTTGAGTGCACCCAGGTGTGTGTGTGCCCAGGATAGCCCCTTCTCAGAGGGGATGGAGTGGCGCAGGTTGAGGTTGGGAACAGTAATGACTCAGGAGGCCGGGCATTTCTCTGCTAATGGCCACCCTGCATCAATCAAGGGGTCAGCTCGGGGCAGGTCCCCGAGTGGCGAGTGTCACACTGTGGGATCCTGACCCCAGAGGGCAGGGCGAGGAGGGCTGGAGAAAGGGAATGCCCCCTGCCCCTCGTTTTCTCTGAGGGACCCGTGTCCAGCCTTCCTGCTGACGTTCCAACCCCAGTTAGGAAAGCCGGGCAGCGAAGGCCACTCGGAAGCTCTCCTCTTCACCGCTGCTTCGTCCCCTATTAGCGGGCGGGGGCCTAGGAGGAGGGGCTAAAGCTCTGAGAGGCTAAAACAATGATCTTCCTAAATCAAGTCTCCAAAAACGTTCACAATCACACTCACTGCCGTGATGGCTCCAGGATGGGTTGGGTAGAACTGCCCCCAGGAGTTTCTAAGACTGTGACTCGTATGGGGGCAGAAAGCCCCAAGGAGCGGTTGGTGGTTTCGCACTGCTAACCTCTTGGTTAACAGCCCAGTGCATAAACCAGGGACCACCAGGGATCCAGCCCCCAGGGTCGCTCCAGATCTTAGTCAAGCCAAAGAGTGGCGTGGGGCGAGGAGGCACTCTGCAGGCTGTGTGCCTCCTGGCTCGGACCTCTGCGACCAAGAGTTCCTGGAACTTTAATCATCAGCTACATTATTAATTACCTTCAATTATTGCCAGCTTATTTGCAGACGGAAGGTTTTCACTTTCCTACAAACCCAAACCAAACCCGCTGTCACCCAGTGGACCTAGAGAGACCCTGTGGGGCAGGGTAGAACCGCCCCGGCTGGGTGTCTGAGATGGCAACTCGTCTTCCTCCTGCGGGACAAGCTGGCAGGTTAGAACAGCTGACCTTGCAGTTAGCGTGCCGACTCGTCCTGGCCCACTAGGCACGCTTTCCTATAGCTGGGATCATGCTCTTCTCCAGCATGGAAACACCCTGTCTGTCTGTTCTGTCCATCTGTGCCAGCGTGTGTGTGGCTGTGAGGCTGGCAGCTCCAATCACCGGTGCTTCAAACACCAGCATGACCTCCGTGGTGGATCCGTGCAGTGGACCTTCAGACTAACACAGACTAGGAGGAAAGGCCTGGTGACCGCCCTCTGGATCCCATCAGAACCTTGTCGGCAGAGTGGGTGGGCAGGGGAGGGGGGGATTGAGGTCCTGGTCAGGAGGGCCCACGACTCACCTGTGCCAAGGACCTTGAAGATGGTGCCTGGCCGGGCCACCCTTCCTTCTGTTGGCTGTGGGGCTGCATGGCCTGCAGTCGGTGACTGGAGCAATGGACGGGCAAGCGGGGGGCCTCAGTGGAGGTGCAGTAGCGGCCGGCAATCGTCCCTGGAAGGCACAGTGGGTGGCAGTTTGGGGTTGTGTCTTGAGGTTGCTGATGAGAACATCCTCATTTCCTTTGGGTGCTTCGGGGTTGCACAAAGCGTGTCAGTTCCCCCTCTGGGCTCGCAGCTCCGAGCTGCGTGGAGGGCTGCAGGGTGCTGGAGAAGCCCCCAGCCCTGGGCACCATGTGGAGACTCATGTTCCGAAGCAGGAAGCTCCCGGCCCAGGTTCGTAGTCCCAGTGTCACCCACCGAGGGGCTGCCTGCTGAGAGTGACCCATGGATGGAAGGACGGACGCTGTGACCTAACTGGTTCTCTCCTTGCCCCCGCAGGGCAAGTGGGCCTCGACTTTGCCGGAGGCGAAGCCAGCCGCTGCCGCACAGGTAAGGGACCACCCTGCCCCCCGGGGTGCGGCTTTCACGTTAACCTGGAGGGCAGCTCCCTGGGCCCTCTGGCTGTTTCTCCTTCAGGAGCACAAGCCCCACTGGGCAAGCTGATGGACATGGGCCCAACCGAGGGCCGCAGGACTGGGCATGCAGGGTGGGTCATCGGGGCAGGGGGGCCGGCTGCCTGCCTGCACGTGAGATGGGGCTCTGATGGATGGGGCCCCCAGGTGCCTTCAGAGGCTGGACAGGTGGGCAGCTGTGACAACCTCGGTGTCTGGGCTCTATCACGTTCTCCGCCTTTGACTGGGCACAAGCCAAGTGAATCTCTGCCCTTCGCACTCAGTGGGAATGTCCGGGGGCCTTCTCAGCAGGGCTCTGGCCTTCATAGTGTGATACCTCTGACTCCTGGTAAACCTCCCTCTCTTCCTAGTCTGGCTTCCCAGGAGTGCTTGGAAACCCCTTCCGATGGGTGTGTATATCTTTGTATATGGCATGTCTTATAGGGATTATGTGTCTGTATGCACAAGTGCATGAAGGTGCCCGTGTGTGACATACTATGGAGATTGTGTGTGTGTGCTTTATCTAGAATGGGGCACACAGACAGGTCAGAGGGACGGCAACATGTGGTGGGAACCGTCCGTTCTCCCTTCTTCCATTCCGTTCCTGCGCTCACTGTCCGAGGGCCCCACGTCTTCACAGTCCAGGGGAGGCATGCATTATGCTACGTGCACCCTCGCCCCTAGGTTCCAGAGGAGCCTCCGCACTACGCTGGAAAGACAAGTGACAGGAGGGACTCCAGGTGGGACAGGACAAAGGTGGGCTGGGCCCCGAGCTGGGCCAGGCGCCTGAGGTCTGGCAGCTCCGAGCCGTGTGTGGGAGTTTCTTAGTGGAGGTGTCCAGGGATGGGCTGGCTTCTGGGTGACTTGGGGTGGGTGTGGAGTCTCCCGAGACTCCCAGCACCATCTGCTTTGTAGGGACATCATAGGTAGGCCATATTGCGGGGTGACGGCTCTGTCCCAGGTACCATTTCTTTCAGTCTCCCAGCCCCCAAAAGCAGTGAGGCCCACAGGGTAGCGGTGCTGGGGGCTTGGAGGCATCTGACCAGGCAGGGACGGTCAGCAGGGGCTGCTCCTTCTAGGGGCCCAACAGGTAGCTTGGCACTCTGTGGGGGCCAGCCTCATGTGAGCCTGTTTTTCTAGAACATCTCTTCGCTGTCTGATGAGACTCCCAGAGTTCCCTGCAGAGTCCAGGGCAGGAGCCGACAGGGCTCGAACCTGTGACCATCATGGCTATACAAACGCAGGCGGGAGCTCCGGGACGCGTCACGGCATAGGAAACCCTAGACACCAGATCTGCAGCCCTGGCGTCTGACCCTGGTGACACCAAGGGTGAGGTGCTGGGCCGCAATTCACGGGGTCGGCAGTTCAAACCCCCCAGCCACTGCTGAGGCTGCAGACTCGTATGAGTTTGTGTCGTTTCTCCTTTTTCACAACAGACAGACGTGACACCATGGAGTGTGTGTGTGTGGGCGGGGGGCAGGGGAGGGGCGGGGCGGAACAGGCCTATCTCCTGTTCAAGACCCCAGCACAGTTGGAGCTGCTGGGGCACAAGCCGGGGGTCCCACAATCACTCTGAGCCCCCGTGTGAAAGGAGCCCTTGTGGCAGGGTGGTTACGCATTGGACAGCCAACCACAAGGTCAGCTGTTCAAAACCTTCAGCCACTCAGAGGGAGAAAGAAAGACGGGGCTCCCCACCCCGGTCAAGGTTGACAGTTGCGGAGGAAACCCCGGGAGCTCCACACTGCCCTGCAGGTCGCACTGCGGCGGCCTCACACGATGGTGGTGACCTGGGTTTGCTTTAAGCCCTGCAGAGACACTTCCTGGGGGGGCGGGCACAGCGGCTGCGGCCACCACAAACAGCCTTCCTTGTCTGGCCCAGGACCGAGGTTGGCTTTCTCCTCCCTGTTTGTGTGGCTTTGTTGTTTTGTAAAAAGAAGAGAGGAGGCAAAAGAATGTCTGCTTTTGTCCGTGGAGCCACGATTCCAGCCGGAGCCCTTTGTGCCCCAGGGACTCGCTCGGCTGCCCCCTGGCCGCCCTCGCCAGCACGCCCGCCCCATTTCCCACCCTCCATTGATGCCGTTGGACTTTGAGCAAATTGAACGCTGTGTCCTCAGGACTTCTGCTTCCTGAGACGCGAGGGATGTGGGGCTTTGGTCACAGGTCCGGTGCGTCCCAGGCCGAGAACGCCTGGGTGGCAGTGGGTCTGAGAGCTTATTGTATGTGGGTGAAGGTGTGCCCACAAACTCGTTCCCTACCCAACAGCTTCCACACATTTATTCTGCTCCTCGCCCCTCTCCCCCTTGGCTCCCACTGCCCCTTCCTGCCTGCCCATCTTTGCTTGAGGGTCACTATGCCCCTTCCGGTGTCTTGGGCTGAGGGCCCCTAGGGGCACCTCAACCCCGGCACTGTCATGCACGTCTGAAGCCCATCGAATGCTTAGCTGAAGGGTGATGTCATGGTGGCAGTCAGTGCTCAGGCCCAGGCTTGAGGGGGGCTGAGGGCCACAATCTCAGGGCTCCACCAGCCTCTGTCAGACCAGACGCCTCCTGGTCTTTTTACGGGTTTATATTTGTTCTCCACTTCTTTCCCTCCCTCTCATCTTCCAGACATGTTTCATAAGAAATTATTTTGAAAGAAAAAAATTAGAATAATTTCTCTGTGTGTCTGGCGGGTACGTCAGTGGGGCCTACAGGAGCCCCCGTTCCCCCAGGAAAGGGAAAGGCCATCTGTTGCCATAGCAACCACAATTGGCCCACAGCGTACCATTAGAAATGAAAGGTTTCCCTGGCAAAGCCAGGCGCTCCGGCCCTGGCACCATCTTCCAGAGACCAAGCTTCTCTCACTAATGCATGTTCAAAAGCACCCGGCTATTACCTTCCCTCCGGGGAGACGGGGTCCCCCACTCCCACGGGGCTGCTGTGGCAGCTTTGTCTGAGTCTAAGGCACAGCCGAGGCCAGGAGACCTGGTGGCACAGGGGCTTAGGCGTTGGGCTCCTAACGGAAAGGTGGGCAGTTCAAGCCCACCAGCCTCCCTCAGGGAGAAAGGTGAGGCCGCCTGCTTCCTAAAGGAGTACCGCCTGGCGAGCCCCCGGGAGCAGTCCAACTTGCCCTCGATGGCCCCGGCTAGTCTTTGTGGAAGCAGACGGACACATCTTTCTCCCGTCGGTGGATTACAAACACCTGCCCCGCCATTAGCTACCAGGATCCTCGCCCTAAAGGTCACAGCCGGGGTGGCCCGGCCCCACGCGTCGGGTGGGCATCGGTGGTACATGGTGGGCTCAGGACCTTAGACAGCAGAATCCTGGTGGCCCAGGGCATTAAGCACTGGACTTGGACCCGTCGCTTGCTCCGAGGGAGAAAGCCCAGCAGTTGTCTCCCATAAAGACTGAGCCTGGGAAGCCCTGGGGACCAGGCCTGCTGGGTGCTGCAGGGCCTCGGGGAGCCCCGTAGCCTCACACGTTTGAGGGCGGTGAGCTTGCTGTAGGTATAGGGATCCCTAAGGGGGTGGTGGCTCCGTGATTAAGCGCTTGGATACCACGGTTCACGGTCAGCGGTTCAAGCCCACCAGGTGCTCAACAGAAGACAGAGGAGGCGGTCTGTCCTGGAGAGATTTACCCTCTTGGAACCCGGACTCTGTCCTACAGGCTGGACAATGTGGGTTTGGTGGCTTAGAATGATAGAAGACCCCTGCAGGGCTGGCCGGGTCCTCGTCCATCCCAAAGCTGTCTCAGTGGCCGCAGTGTCTGGTGTGTGTGTGTGTGTGTGTGTGTGTGTGTGTGTGTGTGTCTTGCACACACACTGCTCCGGGAGTCTGTCTGTTAGTCTGCCCATGGAGAACAAGCGTGGGCACACTGTCTGTCCCAGAAGCAGTGGGAGGAGCACTGTTTGGAGACAAATCTCCCGGATTGAAAGCCCTGGAGCAGGAGCTGCTGTGGGTCAGCTGTTTGCCTGTGCCCAGAGCTGCTGTCCAAGGTCACTTCTGCCCAGCCCTGCCCGAGTCCTCCTCTTGTCCCTCTCTTCACCCGACATCTGATTCCTCTCCTCCCCCAGGTCCTCTGCCACCTGGAAGCTAGTTGTTGACCCACTGGGTCAGCTCCGACTCACAGAGGGCCAGCCAAGGGGCTCCAAGGCTGTGCTTGCTTGCTGTGGACACAGGGTACCAGAACTTTCTCCTTCTGAGCGGCCGACCAGGAGCTGGTTAGTGGGCACCTGTCCAGGCTGCAGCTGAAGGTCTCCAAGGAGGAGCCTATTTGATATTGGCAAATGTCCTGGGCTGCCTTGACCTCACTGCCTGCTGCCGTTGATCCTAGGCTGGGCTGTGCTCTGGCCCAGCCTGACGGGCCTCAGGGAGACAGCCCCCCCAACCCCTAGTGCTTCCAGGTGACTGTGGAGCCTCCCAAAGGGCTGGACAGTGGGAGGGAAGTGTCTGTGTAGCTACATGTGTGTGCATCCAGACGCCGATGTGTGAGGGTCTCTGTGTTTTTGTCCCTGGTGTGTGTGTGTGTGTGTGTGAGAGAGGGGGAGTGTCTCTGTGTGCATGTTTGTGTCTGTGTCTATCTGTGAGTGTGCATGTCTGAGCCTGTGTCTCTGTCTGTGTGTATATCTGTCAGTGTGTGTATGTGTGTGTGATAATGTCCATAAGCCTCTACCTGTGTGTGTGTGTGTGTCACTGGATATATGTGTGAGTTCTGTCTGTGTGACTCTGCGTGTGTGCTTGTGTCTTGTGTATCTTTGAGTGAGTGTCTGTGTGTATGTGTATTTGTGAGAACCTCTGTGTGTCTCTATCTGTGATGTGTGTATGTGATTGTTCATGTGTGTATGTGTATATATTTATATGTGTGTGAATGACTATATATCACTATCTGTGTGTGTGTCAGCCTGTATTTCTATGTGTGAGGTTGTCTGTGTATATGTGAGTGTATGTGTGTGTGAATGTCT